AGCCTAAAATGTCATCAGTGAAAACACAGTCGCATCCTATACAGAGATCTACAGTCACATGCTTGAGTTTAGCTACCCTGAACTGGCCAGGGGAATGCAGACATCTCAACCCTCTTGGTATATAGAAAATAGTCCCTTTTCCTCTTCCCCAGAGTTGCAACGGCCACTTTAAATACAATAGAAATAGCTCACAGGCCAGAGCCTTGAACAACTCCTGAATTCTAATCTCAGCTCACCATTGACTCCCTGGGCTGCTGCTTTAAACTTCTCTGCCTCCTCTCTACATCTGCAAACAGGATTAGCAATTATGTCCTCCACCAGCGTGGGTGCAAGGACTGTGAGTTCCCATTTTTGCAGGGCTTTGAAATGACACCATGCCACAGTTAAGAGCTAAGCAAGGTTGTTGTTGCCATGGCGATCAATGATGCTGTGGTTTTTCCACCTGGCCAGGTGGTCTATGGAGCATCGTGGCTGATCTAGCTCTAAGTCTCTATGCTTTTAAGCAAGGTTTTATTTCTAAGTTCCCCTCTTTCCCAGTTCTACTGGGACGAAGGATGAAGGCCCGGCAACACTGTGCTACGGGATAACAAAAGTGAGGCATTTTTAACAACACAAATTAATTTGCAAAACAAAAGCAAAAGAAACACATCAATAACATTGTTCAGATTTTTAAACACAAAATGTACAAAAATATAGATATAATAATTTATATGTAGATAACAGCCGTCATTCATAAACACTGTAACAATCCACTAGGGGGAAGCAGAAGGTAATTTGTTTCTGAATGGATTATGATGCATCATTCAACAGAGGTAACTATGGGTGGGGATCCTGGTGACGCTGTGGCCTTGTTTTCCCTGCTAGAAAAGGTACATTTATGACCATGGGATAATGGGCTTTCCTCTTGTCTTTACCTCCTGGTAATACTAGTCTGTTTCTTAAAGGGGCAGCCTCCTTTTATTTATTTTTGTTTGTTCGGCAATTCTTGTGCATTTTTTATGCTACTGTTTCGGCTCTCTTTGTTAAATGAGTTGGCCACCCCTGTTATAGACTAACAAAACATGTAGATAGTATCATGAACTTTCATGGGCACAGCCCACTTCTTCAGATGACTTCTTCGGTCATCTGAAGAAGTGGGCTGTGCCCATGAAAGTTCATGATACTATCTACATGTTCTATAAAGTGCTACCAGACTATTTGTTGTTTTTCCAGTTTACTTGTGCAGACTAACTCGGCTCCCCCCTGAAGCTTCAGGAATATTAGTCGCCCTGAAGTAAAAAAATGCACATTTATTTTTAGTGACATCAAGGCCTATGATCAGTTTCCTCTACTCTGTGTTTGTCATTTCTCCTGTCTTACCTGTGTCACTCACTGCCCTTCACTTGGCTTCTCTCAGTGGTTCATCTGAAGGAGAAACCAGAGAGAGGAAGCCCTCCATCTCTTGTCTGGTCTCTCGTTCTGTTCCGCAGTTTTCCATGCCATTGAATTTTTTCTCTCTCTTCCAACCTCTCATTTTCTAAATGCATGAACAACCATGCTTTATCTCAATCCCCAGAGCTCTAACCACGTACGTGGCTTTTCATGTAGGGATTCCACTGGTGTACTTGCTTTCTTGCCGGAAAGCGTGTGGCGATGGTGTATACTAGGACAGATGCTATGCAATTATAATGAGCTCTTGCCAGTAAATGCTGCCGGGAATAACCCCTGGACAATGAGCAAGGATTGATGCCCCTAAGCTCCTAAATGTGCAATAAGACCTGGGACACACAGTAGCTTTAAAAATGATTAAGCTGTCGCTGACCTCTCTATGACACTGAGGACTGCGATGTTTAGCCACAGCCCACATCCACCTCCTGGAGACAGAATATCTCCTGGCCCCCCCCGATAGTGCTTTGTAGAGCCATTTAAGGGCTGCAGCACAGTCCCCATGTTGGCCAGTCTGCTGTACTACTTCCCATCCCTTCTTGCCTGCTTTTGGGTGAATAGCAAATCTGAGCTTTGGCAGATTGATAGTGGTAGCAGCTCTTGTGCTCCCTCTACCTCAAGGGCTGTAACTCTGGCCAAACCTTACATGTACCGTGTAAGGAAGGGCTGGGGCTATTTAGTCCCTTTCATCCTCACTGCACAATCCCATGAAGGCTAGCCAAAATCTAGCCACTCGTCTCCAGATGCCATAGGCATAGTTTATGAACCAGCTAGGAAAAAAAAATCTAGCTAGTAATCTTCAGGAGAAAATCATAAGCTGGAGTCCTAAAGCTTTCCTCCAGCCCCTATGTTGGCATCATCACTCTGGGAAACATTCTTTAGCAGTGGTTTGACCCTGAAAGTCCAAGCGAATGGTGGATGCTTGGAACGGGGCCCATGGTCTGGTCCTGCAAATGTAACCTCTTAGTTAGGGCATTATGGAATAACTTGGTCAGCTAAGCAATACCGTCAATTATGAAGAAAGAGGAGCCGGGCCAGTCCCCCTGCAAGACAGCCTGAGAAAGAGAAGAGTGTGCTGTGAATCAGGTTGTGGATTACTTTGACTGTGCAATCTTTTCACCAGCAAATTTGTGGCATGACAAACTTTGGAAAGCAATAAACTTTTCTGAGCCAGGCTGGTTGCTGAAGCCACTGAGCATCCCGTCCCATCAGCATTCTTCCTGTTATCTGACTGCATGCAGGCTGCATGTGAAAAGCCAGACTTCTCCACTGGTTAGACACTGATCTGACAAATGTGGAGCGTGGCTAATACTTTGGCCAGGTGGGAATCGTTTGCACTAGAGAGAAGTCTCCTCTGAGACAATACCAACTCTGCTGCCTCCCCAATGGTTTCCGTGAGCCACCAATCCTTGGTTGCAGTGTCCGTATTCTTACCCTTTAAGTGCCCTCTCTGAATGTGGAAGATGAATTCCTCTGAAATGGTTTTAATAGGCTGGATTTTTCTCCCCAAATTTCAGACTTGAGAAAAGTGTAAAAAAAAAAAATCCAAAGGAAGAACAATAAAGCCATCCCAGGATGTGGGTAATACTGAAGGTGACACCTCTTAGCAGAATAGCCAGGATGAACTGTTGTGCAGCATTAAGTCAGCCTCAGCATTGCAAGTAAGAGGCGATGAAAACAATTTGAATTTCACCTACGATCTGTTATCACTTTCTTTTTCACCACCTAACTACTAAGCTCATTCCTCTCCTTCAGCACTGGGCAGGGCACTGAGATTCCTTTCTCCTGAGGCTTTTCCTCCTTGAGCCAGTTGCGACAAAATAGCTGATTTAGCTCCGCAGCTCAGAAAAGCCCCTCCAATAATATTCTCCCTTATCTTTAAGGACCAGAGCTGTCAACTCAGCAGTGGCTGTGGGGTTGATATGGAGCATGCTGGTAACTTTGAAATCCTTCCCCTCAAAAGCTAAGTTACATATTTCAAAAAAAGTCAAGGTTAGCAGTCTGATTATTTTCGTACATGGCTTTGTAAGGCAATAAACCTCCTGGATAAAGTACATAAGACCGCTGGCTCCCAGAATTCAGACAGAATTCTTCCTCTTTTTTTTTTTATTTAAAAAAATCTTTGATTGGTTAAAGACCCATGTCTTGTATGAAATGTTCTATTTTCTTAAAAAAGGGTGTTTCTTTTGTTTGTTCCCCGTTAAGTTGATTTTGACAATCCCCTTTTTGTTTGTAGCGCTGCTGTGGCACAAACTCGTAGTTGAAATGGCCAAATGTCGACTAGTTCCCCGCCGGCTTAGGAGGAATTGTGTCCAGTGATTGCATTAGTTAGCATCAGAGCTCCAGAGAGCCCATCAGAGCCAACATTACTAGGGAGTTAGTCATCATAACGACAGTATGCGGTGCTGGATTGGCAGCAGAATTTTCCACCATCATACTTGTACCTGAAAGAGGGGGAAAAAAGAAACAACCATGACGAATGAATTCTTTGTTGGATTGGCACCGCTTATTTTCTTTCTTTTTTCCCCAAGGAACCAGTGAGGATTTGGTGAAATGTTAGTTCTTGGAATGCTGGATGCTGCTGCTCGCTTTATTGTTTTTGCATCTTCAGGGAATAACTTTGTTTACAAAGAGACTAGACTCTAACATTTACTATGGGCTAAATTCTGAAGGACTCAGGCAAAACCCTGATATCAATGGGAAACTTGACTGGGTCAGAACTAAGGCCAGGAGTACACTAGACCTGGAAGGTCGGCTTAAGGTACGTGACGCATTCTATGTAGCTAGTGTTGGCTTACCTTAAGCCAAGCTTGGCGGTGTCCCCACAGCGGGAGTCTGACGGGAGCAAATGCTCCTGCAGGCTTCCCTTATACTCGCAAGTAGTACAGGCACCAGCTAGAGCTGTCCTCAGTGTTCAGTTTGAGTGTATACTAGACCTGCTAAATTGAGCGCCAGCATGTCGATCTCGGGCGCGGCGAGTGAAGACATGCCCTAAGAGTGAACTCTTGGCCCTATTGAAGCCTATCGGAGCTTTGCCCTTGACATCAATGGAGTTACGTAAATGAACATAAATTGAGTATAGTTTAGCCCAAAATGAATAACACCAGCTTCAGAGTACACTTAAGGGCTTGATCATGATCTGCCTGCATGTGAGGAGAGATGGGAGAAGAGACATTAACTTGGATGACCCAGCAGCCACAGCTGAGCCCCAGAAAAGAAAATGCCCTTCACTAACATGCATGTGAGAAAGCTGGTCGGGTTATAGACCTGGGCTAGAGCTGCCACTGCTCTCCCTCCCCATGTGCTAGATGGAAGTAGTAGGATCTGGAACCAGTGTTCATGCTACTCTATGGACCGGAATTGGAGCAAAGACCCAGATTGAGGCCTGGGGCAACACGGGGCTGTGAAAGGAAGGATACAGGATTAGCTCCTTTAAATTCACATCACACCTTGGCTTCACCTTTGTTTCCAAGGGTTAGTAAAACTTTATGGGATAATGGCTGCTGGGTGCATGACCAAGGTAAATGAGTATCCACCTGAGGGATGTGTGCATAGAAATAAGGCAGGGAAGGGAGAAAGAGAAGAGCAGAACAAGACGCACCACCGTTTCTGAGGATATGAACCTCTGCTGGGACTCCGTCTCCTCCTGGCCCTGTTGCCCTAATCTGAACCAAGGCGTGAGTGGAGTCTTCAGGCATTGGGATTTCAATGCGGTTCTTGCTGGCCAGGTACAGTGTGGGAGTGGAGTGTGAGTCCTGCCGGTAGAGCATCTGTTGGAAGAGACGTTTGAATTTAGCATGGTGGGGTCCTTTTTTGTTTTCTGCAACAGAATAAGGAAGGGAAGAACTTGCTAGGTACGGCCTGTACCTTGTACCCAGTGACTGCAGACTCGTTCGCCTTTGCAACCACAGGGTCCCACTTGACACTGACGCTGGAGCCGGAAAATGTCCAGGAGATGTTGCCAGGTGGCCTCCTTGGTGCTAGGAGATACAAGGTGACCAAGACTTTCAAACAGGATGAGAAACAAAAAAAGCAAAAGGAGGGATGTTCTAGCTGACACCAAGGCTACGTCTACACTGGCCCCTTTTCCGAAAGGGGCATGGTAATTTCAGAGATCGTAATAGGGAAATCCGCGGGGGATTTAAATATCCCCCGCGGCATTTAAATAAAAATGTCCGCCGCTTTTTTCCGGCTTTTAGAAAAGCCGGAAAAGAGTGTCTACACTGGCCCTGATCCTCCGGAAAAAGCGCCCTTTTCCGGAGGCCAGCAGTCAAAGTAGGAATAAGATCCTCCGGAAAAGGGCGCTTTTTCCAGAGGATCGGGGCCAGTGTAGACGCTCTTTTCCGGCTTTTCTAAAAGCCGGAAAAAAGCAGCGGACATTTTTATTTAAATGCCGCGGGGGATATTTAAATCCCCCGCGGATTTCCCTATTACGATCTCTGAAATTACCATGCCCCTTTCAGAAAAGGGGCCAGTGTAGACGAGCCCCAAGGGTTTCCCAGATCCCCTTCTGAGATCCACTGGACTACTTGGAGGATGAGTCACACTAATATGGCTAGGAACAGCAGGAGAGCATTTCAGCTAGAGTTATCTGAATAAAAATACAATCCTATGTGACTGGCAACAAGTAATGTTTTGCCCAGATTTGAAATATTTCTTTCTGATTAATTCCCAGCATAGAGCTTGGATCAGTTCTCAGCCTGAAAGCATTCTTGCTCATTTGTTAAATGGTTTCTAGACCTTGTGTGTCTAGAAACAGTTGTACACTGTACATTTACATCAAGATGAATGTAAGGTGTGTAAGCTTTCAACCTTACATTCACATCAATCGGATTATCATTAGCTGTTTGTTCTACTCCATTTGCAACGTCTTAGCAGTTGATCTCTGAAGTTAGGGATTCTCTGGCTATCACAAGATAGAAGGCCCTGGTGCCTAGCTTCATCAGCTCTCCAGATAATGGCTGATAAATTCATGCTAGATTTAAAGTACAGGGAAAGTAAATAGTAATGGTTATTCAAATGATATGATTTGGGATCCAACATCTCAAAATCTTTGAGCTAAAAACAAATAGTTTATACCAGGGGAAAACACGGACCGACACTTTTCCTGTTGCATACAATGCATTTTTTTGTCTGAGCAGATTCGAAACTCTCAAACCACAGCCTCAGCCCTGGTCTTTTGCCACTGATCCAACAGGGACAGAATATAGACATTGTGCATGGCGCTCACTCACGTGGCTTTGTTGTTGTGATGTTGGTAGAGGGACTAGCTGGCCCCGTTCCAGCCCGGTTGTAGGCTCTGACTGTCACATGGTACTTTGTATTGGGGTTCAAGCTTGTCACGTGAGCAGAGGTGACTAGACCTGCTGTCCTCACTCTGTCAGCAGCTTCCTCTTTATCGCCATCCTTCCAGTACCGGATCTAAACAGATGAGTACATCAAGGAGTTACTATAGAGAACTTTCTGGGTGTCTGGCTGATGAGTCTTGCCCACATGCTCAGGGTTTAGCTGATCACCATATTTGGGGTCAGGAAGGAATTTTCCTCCAGGGTAGATTGGCAGAGGCCCTGGAGGTTTTTCGCCTTCTTCTGTAGCATGGGGTACAGATCACAGCTAGAGGATCTCTGCATCTTGGGGTCTTCAAAGTATTTGAAGGCTTCAATATCTGAGATATAGGTGAGAGGATTATTCTAGGAGGGGTGGGTGAGATTTTGTGGCCTGCACTGTGCAGGGGGTCGGACTAGATGATCATAATGGTCCCTTCTGACCCTGGAGTCTATGAGTCTATGGTATTAGTGCCTAAGCCACTGAGGCCAAGTCTACACTAAAAGGGGAGGTTGAATAAAGATATGCAACTCCAGCTATCTTAATTATGTAGCTGGAGTCAATGGACCTAGTTTAGAGTTTCCCAGCCATCCCCACAGCAGGAGGCCGATGGGACCAAAAGCTCTCTTTGGCTTCCCTTATTCCTCCCAGAAGCAGGAATACTGGCTGCCAACAGGGGTGCCTTCCGAGTCTGATTTAACAAGTCTTAACTGGGTTATTTGCTTTCCCTTCCTGTTGCCCCTAGTGAACTGCACTACCGTGCGCTTCAGCCTGAGTCTCTCCCACGCTAGCTCTTCCATTCTCTTACCTCGTAGCCCAGAAGGACTCCATTCATGTCATCCTGCTCGACAGGCTCCCACAACACGTCCATTTCCGAGGACAAAACAGCTTTGGCTGTAACCTTGGAGGGAGCCACTTTTGGTTCTGGCAAAGGACAGAAGGAAAACCCAGCAATTAAGTCTATTTCATAACAGTGGGGGACAGGGTCACTGCCCAGGAAGGAGTGGCTTCATGGCCAGAGGCCGGCTCAGTGGCTATGGGACAGGTATAGCAGGAACACTCACTAGAGGCCCCATGTCTGAAGCGCTGACTATGGGTTTTATGTAACCAGTGGGGCAGCCTGGCAAGAGGTCTTGTGTTACAAGAGCTCTTGGGAGCCAAACACCTCTTCTTCTGCATTGGGTGTATGCTTCTAGGTGCACTCACCTTCCTCTGCAGAGTACACGATGGCAATCAGGCTCTCTGGTCCCTCCCCCTTCCTGTTGTATGCTTTGATTTTCACTTCAAATGGGGTGTAGGGCTCGATGCTCTCATTGCGGTAAACATAGTGCAGGGACTCTGGGTGGGGCACCTGCGCAGTCTTCCATGCCTGGGCGCCTTGCTTGCGGAACGACAGGATGTATCCAAAGCCATCTCCGTTCTGGTACTCCCGCAGCATTGGCTGCAACCGGGGCGAAGAATGAAAGGACACGTTGGCTCCTTTTACACCCGCAGGGCTTGCACTAGATTTTTCTCTAGACAGTTGGCAGAATTCTGCCTGGGAGCATGTGTGCTCAGATCCCATAAGGGAGGGTTTTGCACATGTGGCAGCGGGTAGAGTTTGGCTCTGTAGAACCCCATAAATGCTACGGCAGTGTTGCTAACCCTCGCAGCATTACCACAAGTCCTGGGATATTTCATGTTTTAAGGCTTCAGCCCCTGGAGTCTTGTGATAGTCACAATAGCCCACACCTAAGGCTACAGCTAGACTACAAGCCTTTTTCGAAAGAATCGAAAGCCTCTTTCGAAAGAAAGTCTCTAAACTACAAGCAGATATTTCGAAAAAGCAAGCCGCTTTTTTGAAAGAGAGTCTAGATGCTCTCTTTCGAAAAAGCAGTTTGCATTCAATAGTGCCTTTTTCGAAAGAGTACTTTTGAAAAAAGGCGTTATTCCTTGTAAAAAGGGGTTTACCGCAATCGAAAAAACTGCTGTGTTCTTTCGATTTACTTTCGAAGAATGTGGCTGCAGTCTAGACGCAGGTGAAGTTTTTTCGAAAAAACCCTGTAGTCTAGACACACCTTAAGTGGTAGTCTGCTACCCCCTTTTCCTTCCATCTTTGATTTTGTGACTTTTGTCTCCTTTTCTCCCCCTCCCTCTTCTGTTTTGTCTCCCTTGATAGTTCCTCTATGCTCCCTTTTGAGATCCAAGCCTTTCTCCCTTTTCCTTTTTCTGCCTTCTTCACTGGCCTGCACTTGCTGCCAACTCACCGTCCAATTGATGATGAGTTCACCGGGGGCCCCTCCTCCTCCACTGAGCCCAGATGGTGCCACAGTAGGGGCTGTTGTGTTCCCCAAAAGAGAAAGAATGCGAGAGTTTAAAAACAAAGGAATCGTGAAAGAAAAGCACCCACGTTTCAAAACCTGGGAGCAATCAACTTCCTTCACCTTGCCAGCCCATCAGCTTCTCACCCTTCACTACTGAAGATATTTTAGATGTGATTTGCAGAGGTGCTGAGCTCAGACAGTCCCTCCTAAATTCAGCTGGTGATGTGGCTTTTCAGAGCCCTTGAAAACCAAACCCTAAAAAGCATTGTGGGGGTGAATTTTTGTTCTGTGGGAGTTGCCAGTTCACCACACACAGTCAGGGCACTTCAAGCACCTGAGCTTTTGGCTAAGACCAAAAGCAGTATTGACTTAATATGCAGTAAGTTGTCACAGGGGACTTCACCCTGTCCTTGCAGTAAGTTGGAGAGTGGCTCTCAACCTATCCAGCCTGCTGTCCTCCTTTTAGGAGGCTGATTTGTCTTGCCTACCCCAAGTTTCATCTTACTTAAAAACGATTTGCTTACAAAATGAGACATAAACACTCAAGTGACACAGCACCATAATACTGAAAATATGCTTATTTTTACCATGCTGCTATAAAATACGTTGTGACAAACGCTGAGGTTGTAAAAACATGTCATTGTCTGAAATTTTAGTTTGTCCCGACTTGTCCCGTGCTTTTCATGCAGCCTGTGGTAAAATTAGTTCACTATGAATTGTTGTACCCCCCTCGCATTAGACCTCTATGTAACTCCAGGGGTACCTGTATCCCTGATTGAGAATCACTAGTCTAGCTTTAATAGGCCTTTTCCATTTCTTACCATTAGGATCTTATAAAGTTCTCAGAGTATAAAATACTCGGGGCAGGGAGTGTCTCTCTTTTTTGCACCTTGCACAAGACCCAAGTTCATTATTAATGTTTGGCATATGATAAATAACACTTGTGAAGCAGTAATCCAACGCTGTGGCTCCTTTATCCATGGAATGTAAATGGGTAAGGAAAAAAGTATATTTTGTGGCATGAGCATCTCTAGGAATACTCAATGACTTGATGAACTTGTGGCGATGCCAAAAACCAAGATAGATGATCCCTGATGTCCCCTTCTAACCCTGAGAGTATATGCACCTACCAGCTTCTTTGGTGCGGATTTTGCTGGAGGGCCCACTAGGATCCCCAGCTCCAAGGATGTTGCTGGCTAGGACCCGGAATTCATAGTCCATCCAGGGGATGAGGTTCACCACTTGGGCCGCCTCTGCATTGCCTTCGATGTTTGCAGGATCTATAACCCAATAACAGGAGAACACAACCAATAGAGCAAGCGGCTGTCAGGAAGCAAAGAAAGAGTTCCACCCCCAGAGCTATCTATTTGAGCCGAGGCACGGCTGGTGCCATAAAAACACTTACTGGTGCGCACTTGCTTCCATTTGTTGGAGAGTGGGGTGCGGGCCTGGATGGTGTATTTGGCAATAGGGCTGTGGTTATCGAAGCCACGGCTCCAGCTCAGATGGATGGCCATGTCACTGATGTTTGTTACCACTACGCCCCCGGGCGGCCCCGGAGGTCCTAGCACAGTGAGAGAAGGACAGTCACGTTAACAGCCCTGTGAGGATCGGCAGGGCTTGTTGCTCTTCAAGAAACACTTCATCAGGCTGCTGTACCCTGAAGGGTCGAAAGTGTAGCCTCAAAAGCCTCCCTTAAAACATTTGGGGTCTGGCGAGGAATCTCCTCCAGATTCTTATTCTCTTCTGGCTACAGGGGCGGGAACCTTTTTTGGCTCAGGGGTACTGACCCACAGAAAAATCAATTGGGGCTGCCACACAAGTGAGAGGCAACCCCCCCCCACCTCCCGTCACTGACATGGTCCCCAACTGAGAAGCAGAAAGACCCTCTCTCACATCCCTCTCACACACCAGAGCCTAGGGGCGCCCAAGCTAGTAGGTTTTGTGTGCTCCAGCCCTGTGGGAGGGGATGGCAGGGGGGCTGGAGTGCCAGTGCTTGGGGCGGGGGGGAGGGGCCTGAGCCTTGGGGACCGGATCCCGGTAAGCCGGGGGCTGCATTCGGCCCCTGGTCCTTAAGTTCCCCAAGTCATACTGCAGATCATGAGGAATTCAAATGGCTGTTAGTGGGAGGTTTTGGAATGTGAGACCGCGTTGGTGCCTGGCAGGGAATTCCGTTTGGGCTGGTTGTGCACTGCATGAAGGATGTGGAAAGAAATGGCGTAAAAATTACCCCTGACAATCAGCATGGCCGACTCGGAGGCGCTGTCGACGACTGTCTGGGCCGTGCACGTGTACCGCCCGGAGTGCCTCAGCTGAATATTCCGGATGGCGAGGTCCCCAATAGCCTCTTTCTGTGCCGGGGAGAGAGAAGGCAATGGCTGATCAAGCCGGGGCACCTCGCAGCATATGAGATGTGGCCCTTAAAATCCAGGGCCCTCCTCGTGAGGTTCGGAGGATTGGCAAATTGGACATGTCCCAAAAGAGACCAAGGCAAACCAGACTCAGGGTGTTTTGTTTGCCCCTTTGCCCCAGGTTCCTGGAGAGAACACAGAACCCCTTGATACTCACCATGCTTGCTCGCCTGTAGTGTCCTTCCGACCTGTCAAAGTCAATGGGGAAGTCATCCAAGGACCAGGTAAAGGTCAGGTCCATAGTTGGGTCATGGGAGGCATGGCACTGCAGGGTAGTGTTTTCACCTAAGTTGATATCAGCACTAGATGGGGCCAAGGTGATTTTGGTGGCATCTGCGGAGGAGGTGAGAGGGCCGTTACAGGCAGTCCCCGGGTTACATGGATCCGACTTACATCGGATCCCTACTTACTAACAGGGTGAGGCAACCCCGCACTAGCTGCTTCCCCCCAGCAGACCAGGGAGACGCAGAGCAGCTTTTCTCAGCAGACACCTCAGCTTGAGAATAAAGGACTGAGGGAAGTGAGGTGTGGGAGAATAAAACTGAGCTCTGGAGAAATGTTTGGCTAGAGTTTCCCCTACAGTATGTACCAGTTCCGACTTACATACAAATTCAACTTAAGAACAAACCTACAGTCCCTATCTTGTACGTAACCCGGGGACTGCCTGTACTCGCAGAGGCAGCGTGCATGCACCAGTCATTCTCTGGTTACAACACGCAGCCTGACAGGAGGTTTGACTTTGCAAAACCACCCACGTTTCTGTCCCCCTCTCACTAGGAACCACAAATGATCCAAGGGGCAGAAAGGATTAAATTGGATGCAAAATAGAAATATTATTTCAGGGCCAATTGCTCATGGAAGCCTTTTGTGGAAGATGGGTTGAATTGAGGGACTGAAATGAGGTAAGGGTGTGATTCCCTCTGAGGACTGGATTGTTTTATGGGAATCGAAGGAGAAGAAACTGCCCCCTTCACCTTAGAGCATTTATTAGCACCCTCCTTGCTGCATCAGCTTGAGTACAAGAGAGCTCTCTACCTCGAACCGAGAGGATTCCTGTGCTATTGGCTTTTCCCATGAAATTCTCAGCGAAGCAGGTATACTTCCCCTCATCAGATTTGCTGATATTCCGGAGGATCAGGGTGCCCTCAGGGGTAATAGTCACCCTGCAGAAGGAAAAGAGCCACAGCAAGAAGTGAGATTAAAAAGGCACGGACAGCCACCATGTTCACTGCACATGCCCATCTGACCTGGAATTCCCGGATGCTGCTGACTTCCCTAGGGATGCAGGTCATACAGATCAGACTGCAAAAACTATGCAAGACGTGTTAAAAAGAGGCAGAGAATGAAGGACAGCAAAGGCCAGTGGCTTTTGGAAAGAAGGAACCTTTGATAATCAATCCCATGTGATGTGTGCTCCGTGGAAGGTTTGAAACACAGGAATGTGAGCCTGCCCTACAACGGAGCCCAGGTAATCGGTGCTCTGTGCTGCTCTTCCGTGTGGACTAGCTGGTGGGCTCAGGTTTCGTGCTTCCGTTCCACCAGGAACCGCCTGCTTGTACTTCTTTTTGGTTCCTGGGGAACCAAACCTACTCTGCTTACCTCAGCCTTTGGCCGGAGCCAGCCCACGTAGGACTGTGTGACGGAATGTGCTCCCCACAGGATCCCTGCTAGAACTGTGTCACACCAGGTGGGTCCAATTAGCTAATTAAGCTGCAAGCAGGGGAGCCTTAGGCTACAAGGAGGCCACGGATTGGGTTCACTTGCGCAGGAACAGGGGAGGGTGGGGGATAGGGCCGTGGAAACGCTCCAGTGATGTAGGCTGCCATCGCTCCCTGAGTAAAGGGAGTTGGAAACTAGCAAAGCCAGGGAGGGTGGGAGCTAGCGATGTAGGAACCAGCTCAGGAAAACAGCAGCAAGGGGTGGGGCGGTGGTTGTTTGTTAGAGGGCCCCTAGGTTGGAAACTAGTGTAGTGGGCAGACTTACCGGCCACTGGGGAAGCAGGGTTGGAGACATCAGACAGAGGGTCTGTAAGGACTCTGGATTCCCCAGAAGGGGAGGACATAAGTAACTGGGCTGTAGGACCAAGCCACAAAGAGGAGACTGCTGTTCCCGGAGCAAGAGGGGCCAGAAATGTCACCAGAGGGAGAGCATAAGAATTAGTTCCCAGCATGGCCAGCAGGAGGCGCTGCAAGTGGTGAGTGCAAACTGTGCCGGGGAGGGGCACTTTTTTAGCGGATTCAGTTCTTCCTCCATTCTTCCCGGAAGTTCGTTCTTCCCATCCCCTAAATCCCTCCATCTTCCTGAAGAACGCCCCAATGCACGTTATCACATTCCCAAGGACTACGACCCGGGTCTTGAATAATAGTAAAAGGTGTTAACCAGAGGGCCACCAGGCTGGGTGGTTGCCTTCAAGGGAAGACACGTTTTTAGCTGTTATTGCTAGCTAGAAGCAGACTTGGTGCCAGTACCTGCTGCTGTTGATCAGGAGTTCAGTTCCTTTGGTCCAGAGCACAATGGACTTTGGTGCTGCTCTTGGTTGGCATGGGATGATGACCTCTCCACCTCGGGCTGCTGGTATCAACCGCTTCACAGGGCTTAGCCGAAAATCTGGCGCTAAGGCTAAGAAGAAAAGAGGATTAAGGGATCTTCTCAAATACTGATCCATCAGCATGGTAAGACTGCGGTGGAAATGGATTCCGATTTGCTGCATTGCTCAATGACTGCCAGATTGTGTTGGCTGTTCCACTACCAGCTATGAGAGATTCTACCTAATTCTGAGGTGACAGTGATACCACTTTAATGCTTGCAGGGTGGGTCTGTGCGGAGCCACAAAACCAGCCGATTTCAAAGACGACGGGGAGTTTTGCTTCACTGTCCCAAGCAAATTCCAGCTAGCGTAAATGCATAACGGGCCCTAAAATTTCCCCTTTCAACTGGCTATGGAATTCTGCTTTACTGGCAGCCCTAAACTGCTGTGTCAGGTTGCTGCTAAACAGCTGCTGCTTAGAACATTTCACCTCTAAACTGCTGGTTCAAATCCAGCTCCGATTAGAACCAACACAAAGGCGCTATCACTGCTCTGTGTGAAATGAGCGTGGGCTCTGCCCAGCTCCTCTCTGCTGCCCGCCCCAGCACACTGACGGTGTCATGAATACTGAACTGTTTGCTCAGCACCGGTTACTCCGGGTCAGGGGAAATCTCGGTAGTAGGGAGAAACTTGAGCTGCGGGGCTCTGTTCTGAAACTGTTTTGTGGCTCAGTAGAGGAGTTCATTCTCCAGGACTGTTCATCTTTCAGGAGGACTAAGTTTACACAAATCTGTACTATAAGTAAGTAGTTGATGCGCCCTGTCCAGAGGTGCTGCATTTCAGTGGTGGGTAAGTGCTTCTCCTGTGTTTGTAATGGCCGGAGATGAAAAACATAATGTAAATATAAACATATTAGGACTCTTTCTAAAACACTTCAGTGTCTAGATCAAGGCTACTCAATCTGCAGATCACGGCCCATTTGTTTGCAGCCCGCGGTGCAATTAGGGTTTACACGGTGGGAGCCAAAACCAAAAAGTAGTCAATAGAATGGTCTTCTGTTGATATGCGATTTAGTAGTAAAATTCCTGGACTGTCATTGCTTATTAAAAGTGCTGTCATATGGGTGGAAATCGGGTAAATATTTGCATTTTATTAATATCAGCAGAACTGACTTAAACAGGGCCAGTGTGTTGTGTAGTCTTGCCTTAATCTTTGTATTCATGCCCATCAGGGTGAAAGAAGCTATTTGCATATATTTGCATATATATTTGCATGTATATGCAACCGCATTTACGTTGCAGCCCTTGGCATGAACTGTGAGTATCATTGTGGCCCCGAGTAGCCCTGCTCTAGATAGTCCTTGGCAGCCTGGGACTTAGGGAAAATGAGGAGTTACCTTGGACTGTTAATTCCGCGCTTGCATACACCGTGCCGTGCTTGTTCTCAGCTACACACTGGTACATGCCAGAGTCCTCCAGGGCTAGCCTGGAAAGCCTCAGCTCTCCGCCGCTCACTTCAATGCGGTTCTGTGCAAACAGGAAGGCAGGCCAATTAGACGGGAAGCAAGACCGCGAGGCGCAAGACGCAGGCGCTCAGAGCCGCGTTTCAGTTCTGCTCCTAGGCCAGCTTGTTCCAAAGTTGGTATAATTTTTCTGTCTACCAAAATGCCTTCCTCACTAAGCATTTACAGGGCTGTCAGCGCCGTGGTAGCTGTGCCAGTGCATACAGTGTGTAGGTATGTACTGACTGGTGGGAGGAAAGCACTGCTCTCTAAGGCATGGGTTCCCAAACTGGGGGGGCGTGCCCCTCGGGGGGGGGCGTAAAGAAATTCTGGGGGGGCATGAGGCAACTCAGCCTCCCCCCCCCCCATCAAGTTTTGCTGCCCTGGTCAGTTCTTTTTTTTTTTTTTTTGCTCAACAAGTTTTGCTGCTATTTTTGTGTGTGGGGTGTTTGTGTGTGTGTGTGTGAAGGTTTTTCAAAAATCAAAAAGGGGGCATGATGCCAAAAAGTTTGGGAACCACTGCTCTAAGGAGGCTTTCCTGCGCTGAGGCTTGCAGGTGAAGTCCCAGGGCTGCTGATAACAGTGGGGAGTGACTGGGCATGGTGGGAATGAACATGTGAAACGAGCTCGGAAATCCCAGCAGCTTCCCTGGTGGTGGCGGAGGGGATATCGATGAAGTGTGTTTGGCCCATATCAGTGCAGCTGGCAGTTTCTGCTCAGGCAATGCTGGGATCAGGAGCAGCAGGGAGTGCTCCAGGCCTGGACTGAGGGATTGGGATTGGATTTGAGAGGTGGTGGCACAGCTCTGTGGGGTCTCTGTGCTGGAGCAGTTGCGAGCTCAGACACGTGGGAAGTTGGCATTGCTGGGCAGGCTCACGGGACTGGGTGAGGACAGAGACTAGCAGAACTACAAAGGGGCTGTAGCATTGGACCCGTAGGGTCTAGAGCAGCTCGGCTGCACCATTCACTGTTCCAAGCGAGGGCTGCCATACCTGCGTGGTTAACGGCTGCCCATTCCGCAGCCATCTGATCGTGGGCCTGGGCTTGCCCGCTGCTGCACAGCTCCAGCGGAGATCTGATCCGATGTCGGCTTCTGTGTCCGTGATTACCTTCAGCCACTCTGGCTGAGCTGCAAAGGGGCAAGAGCCACGTAGGAGCCAGGAAGGCCAGGTCGGAGGCTGCTTGGGCCAGGGACGTGGGGTTGCACTGACCATGTCAATGTCATGGGAGTGCAGTGATGGATCATAATATGTTACCCCAGCGCAATGCACGTGAGCCAAGGGTTGGATTCTCCGCCTACTTCCCCTCGTTGAGCAAGTGCCAGTATAAATAGCCGCAAACACACAGTAGCATGCGTTGCTGCAGCCAAGGCTGTGATAGGTACAAACCCACCTGACGCTGGGGGCTAGCGAGTCCACACTGCTTAGCCACGCCATGGCTGCCGCTAACCATGCTGCCACGGCTGCGTCGTGCTAGTGTGAGCGTGTGTACATGAGCAGAGGAATCCTAGTTTAAGAGGTAGCCTCTGCGGGTCCTCCAGCCCACAGCCCTGCTTCTAAACTATATGTACCACATGGGAAAGCACATTGACCTCTTTCTCTCTTGCTCTCGCTGTGGAAATGAAATGGGGCCCTATGTCACATCCTCACTGAGTTGTGGGGAAGGCTGGATCTGGACTGGAAGATTTGGGTTGTGATGACAGCTCAATCAAACCTGTAGAGTGGGTCCAGTCTGTGACCCTGGACTCCAGCACCTCTGGGTTTTGGGGGAGTTTGGACTGAATCTGATGCGCCTAGATGGGATTCTATCTCGGTTGACCCACCCTCTTTGGAAATTGCTCAAGAGAGAGCTCTTTGGTAGGTTTTCATTCATCCCTGCTATAGCACAGAACAGAAACCTGGGGGGGAACAGAAACCTGGGCATGTGGTTCATAGGGTTCTGTGGTGGATTTGATTAGGGCGGGTTCAGAGGTGACCCTGGGTCTCCTTTGTGTGCTTTGGGAAAGGGCCTGTTTAAGGGCCTTACCTTGAATAATAATGCGGCCGTGGTAGGTGTCTCTTCCCCTAGCATTTTCAGCCTCACACTCGTAGGTGCCTTCGTCTTCAAAGTCAACGTCCTGGATTTGCAGGAGGGGCTCAGTGGAGATCCACCCGGAGGGCTGGGAGCTGTCCACCTTTCGCCACTTTATCCGGGGGACAGGGCTATGTAAAAGCAAACGCAGTGAAGCAAAACGACAGGGCCTCAGGCGCAGTGCAACATATCCAATCCAATCCAGTGCAGTGGCCTTCCACAAATACCGCCCTGCACCCTCACGTGGCAGACAGGACAAAGAGTCTCCACTGTTTGAAATGATGGCTTGGCCCTTCGCCCTGCTCTGCATTGGGAAATGAAGGGGCGAGTCATTCTTTCTACCCATCATTACGAAGGCCCTAGCGTCTCTGATTCCCTTCCAATGCAGCTGCTACCCCCACTGCCAAAGGGTGGAATGAAATGAACGAAGAATACTCACTTCCCAAAGGCGAAACACTCCAGAGTCACCAGCTGCCCAGCTAAGGCATAGGTGTCGGCAGGAAACTTGGCTCTAATGCTGGGTGCATATTGTCTGGCATCTGCTGGAAGAAAAGCACTGGTGAGGAGATTTCTGGGCTTCTAGAACTAAGGGGGGAGGGATAGCTCTGTGGTTTGAGTATTGACCAAACTGTGGCAATGCAGCATGGGGAGAGAGGTGGTCTGTCACGTAGGCTTGTCCCACCCTTTTAAGGTGTATATAGGTCACAACCAACACTTTAAACTCTCCCCAGAGACCAATGGCCGGCCAGTGTGGCTCCTGGAGCACTGGTGTAATAGGCACTTAGTGAGTCACTTCGCTCGGTCAGTCTCCAATTGCTTCTAAAGCATAGCCCCCTCCCTATGGGTGCATCCTGCTAATGCAAACAGGATGAACTTAATGCAAACAGAAGTCCCTAAGAGAGACTCCTAAATTCTTAATGAGGGAACGCTGCAGCTGGCGATCTCAGTGGCTTGCATGTTTCCTTGCGGGGCTCCTGCAGTTTATTGCAGATCTTTAGGTAGTTTGGTAATTTTTGCTTTTTACATAAAACAGGAGCCTTAATCTGTTCTGAAAAGAAACCACATCCGGGAGCTTTCCTGCCATCGCCCAAACCCCTGCAGATGGAAAGGGTTTTCCAAGGGAAATGTTCCAATTCCAGATTCTCAATCTCTCTCTTTCTCCCATGGTCTCTAGCTGTTTCAGAAAACAAAAGGCCTGATTCAAAGCACATTAACATCAAGTGGCTTTGAGTCTGGCCTAATGTTCCCTCTCATCTTTTCCATCCATGTGCGGATTTTTTCTGTCCACGTGGAGAATAAAATTTTCTGTGCACCGAGGCGTGTATGCATGTGCACCACCTGTAGAAACACAAAACCTAGCTGTGGGCAGTATGCTAATCAGATGGCTGGCATTGGAATCTTTCCTGAGCAACTGCACAAGCGCCCAATTTACAAGGAACACTGGTCAGGCCATAACATTGTTGAATCTTGAGCCAAAGACCTGGTTTCCGTGACAACCACAAGTGCCAGTGCCAACGGGAATGTTAATTGTAGTCACTGTGACATCACTGACAGGATTCTGCAGCGTATCCTACCACAGCTGGCTCCCCCCTTCATTTCTGGGTCTGGCTTACCCATGGTTGTCCTAGATTTGAAAGATTCCCCCTGGGAGTAGTTCTAACCAGCCATAGGGCCCGGCTGCTCTCTACTTCCTATCCTGCTCTTACATCTTGTTTAGCACTGGCTCATGGTCTGTAATGCCACATAGCTCCATCAGGATTGGGCAAAGAGCTTCCTCAGCAGCTCTCACCACCTAGCATGGCCTCCCTGTGCCTCCTCTTCCTCGCTGCATCTCTGTCTGCTCTCTCCCACTGATGCCTGTTAACGTATCTGTCCTCCGGCTACGTGGTGAGAGGTTTAGGGTGAGGCTGGGTCATGCTGCCAGTGAACTTGGCATAAAACCTTCTGGTGCGGTGCAGCTAATTCCCCCATGGGCAGCTCGCCAGGTCTGTGGGAGTGTGTGGGGTCAGGGTTCACCACCATCTCACCCTCTTTTGGGGCTGGGAGTGGTGTCGGAGGAGCAGCAGCCCTGGCACTTCTCTGAACACAGCTGCCGCAACTGTGCGTGACCCATGAGAAGGCCCCTTGCAGACCAATCCCCATTACAGCCTTCTTGCTGGAGGTGGAGGCAGCCTGAGGCAGCCGGTGACCCGCAGAGAGGAGTCTGCCACTCCTACAGCTGCAATAAATGAGAGTTTCTCAGGAGCCATGACGGTTCACTCTCGGCTGATACAGCCCAGCAGTGCCAATGCAAGGGCACTTTTGTGAGGCAGACACCACCACCAACCAACCGAGACCACCAGGTAACAGTCACTATCCGTAACTCCTGACTGGGGCAGGATTTGGCCAAGGGACCCAGAGAGGAAAGGAACATCTAGTTCCCCTCTTTCCTACTTTATCTTGGAGAGCTGTTCCCTCTCTAGGAATTGGCTTCTGAGGGCACCGTGTTCCCATGCAACGGCCTTCGAACCCTGACCCTCCGCCATAAGGTTGAGCCGGGCAA